GAGATGCTGTTCACTGGCCTCATTTCCCATCTCCCTGTGCTGCCTTCATACCCTGAGCAATGGAAAGGCTGCTCTTAAATTAGTGAGGGTCTGTCTATGGAGGGCAAACTGCAGCAGGAGAAAGGGCTCGGCCTGTGGGCTGCAACCCTCTGTGAGCATCCAGTTCAGACCTCGGGCTGTTTGTGACCCTGGTTCCTGCTTCTAGGGTGTGTTGATGTATGGCTGGCTTGGAAACAGCTTTCTGGTGTTTGCAGGGAGAGAATTTCAAGCTTTAGTCCCTGATGTAATAGCAAGTCTGGTACCAGCTTTGCAGCTGGTAAAAGTGATCAGGGGAGTATCATCCCAACAAATAAAGCAGGGAGTGTGATCAGAGGGTATTGGGATGTCACAGCATTCATTCTTTTTTACAGTATTTCAGTTCACTTCCCATTTTGTGTTTGTCAGATGGTCCAGATGTGGGAGGAACCGGTGAGTGTGGGAAGGAGAACTATTTCTTCAGCCAGGGCTGAATCTCTGCCTTGCTCACCAGCATCACCTGTGTGATTGGCACTTCCCCAGCTGAGATTGGCTAGTGGTGCACGTTGATATCCCTTGGGCTGCTGCCTTCAGCTCCCTTAGCACAGCTTCTGGTTGTAGTAAAGCAAAGGAACTCACTGGGAGTTTGTTAGCTAAAAAACTGGGCTCAGTAATGTATGTGGTTAAAATAATCATGTGGGTACCTTAATGCTGCCTACAACATGTCATTTGCTTTCTTTTAAGTTCTGTGGGGACGTTTTTTAAGTGTTGTGCTGGATAAGTACAGTGTTGAGTTTAAAAAGTGTTTCTGATTTTACTCCACCTGAATTTCTCCTCATACTACAAATGTGCTTGTCAGTATGAGAGTCTCAGTAACATTTCTGGGACGTTTTCAGCCAGATTTACCAGGCTGGAGAGGCTTTCTGGCTTTTGACCAGTAGCAGAGCATAAAACAAATAGGAAATGGCTCTTCCAGTTGGTGTGCAAGACTGACACCGAGATGGGGAATTGCTCCCCAACCCAGCGTGCTCCTTAGGTGGTTTGTAGGAGGGAAACACCCTGAGGCCTCTATTGGTTCTTTCATCTGGTCCCTGGGGACTTAAATTCACACAGCTGGAGTGGGAAGACAAGAGGACAGTGATTTTTCAGCTTACCTTTCAAGTGGTGGCTGCATCAGAAGGGCTCTGAACCAGACAGCTGAGAGTACTCAAAAGGTAAGAGAAAAGTGTTTTTATTTCCTTTGAGATTCTGTTGTTTGTTCTGATGGAAAACCTGGCCGGTTTCTGTCTTGACTTCTCATTGCAGATGCCCTCCAAGGCTTTGAAAGCCTTACACAAACACCAGTAATCCTGTATTATGGGCATGTATTATTACTACAAAACATACAGTAGTATTTAATGTCACTGCATTTGCTTAAGCTTTCCCAGATTGTCTCCTCCAACCCTATGAAACCACACATCTGCTCATGTACGTGGGAGTTTTGCCTTTGGATCTAGTGGAGCTAAGGTCGAATTGTTTCAGAATGCTTGTTCCTAGGAATTTCCATGTTGGGCTCTGAGTTCTGTGTGACAGTTATTTGGTTTAAAAGCTGCAATTTGACCACACTTACCTCTTATAGTTGCAACAGACACTCTTTGGTTATTACTCAGTATTTTCTTATCCAGAAGCTCTTCCTGTGCCTTCTTGTGCACTTTTTCACAGAGTGCTCAAAGCCAGCAGAAATTAAGACAAGGGGGGATGGCTTTATGCTGAAAGAGGATAGGTTTAGATTATATGTTAGGAATAAATTGCTCCCTGTGAGGGTGGGCAGGCCCTGGCACAGGTTGCCCAGAGAAGCTGTGGCTGCCCCTGGATCCCTGGAAGTGTCCAAGGCCAGGTTGGACGGGGCTTGGAGCAACCTGGGATAGTGGAAGGTGTCCCTGCCTGTGGCAGGGGATGGAATGAGATGAGCTCTAAGGTCCCTGGCAATCCAAACCATTCTAGGATTCTATGAGTCTAAGTTCTTTGCCACATAAAATGAAATTCGTCACTATTTTCACAATAAAAGTACTTTATTGATTATACTATCTATAGTAAAAATGTCTATCACTGATTAAGTAAAATTGATCCAATCTGAGAGTTACAAAATTTTTGAGCCGTGCTGGCAACAGAACAAAGATTTGCTTCAGGAAAGACTGAGCTAAACTGGAAGTCACTGATTTAACAGAAGGGAGCTGAGTCATTTGTAACAAAATGCATATTTATACTAATGAGGAAATAGGGAAATACTGTTAAACCTCTCTGCACATGAATATGTAGGATTTCAGAAGCAATCTCTCATTCACATATGAACAGTCAACACATCTTGCTTATCAAATATTGAAGAAAAATTGGCATGAAAGAAGGATGAATCTAGAACCACAGTACCCCCCTGGCTGATTATAATCCTGTTTTTCTAGTAACTATTTCAAATCATCCCAAACTTCTGGAGTGATAGAAAAGGTTTGTTCAGTCTGGAAATAAAAAAAAGGTCAATACCTGCAAAAGAAACAACCCTGCTAAATTAATGATGTGGTGGTTTTTGTGGGGGTTTTTTGTTGTGTTTTTGTTTGTTTGTTTTGTTTGTTTTTCTTTTTTTTGTTGGCAGTCATTGATAGCATTAATTGCAATCATTATTTCAATGAAGATTGCATAATATTGAAAACAGAATGCTGGCTGGCTTTGATCATCCCCAGCTTTCCTCTGCAAAGGCTGGAAAGATATGAGCAAGGCTTCTTCCATCCCTTTCCTTAGGATGATGTTCTGTGCCTGCTAGATCTGACTGTTAGGCACTCTTCCCTAAGTTATTCCTTTCCCTAATCTGCTATTATTGCCAGTTATGTGTATGACATGATATTCTCCACGAAGAGTCAGTTAAACCCACTCTTTTTAACAGCAGGGGAAAATCTCTTTATTACATGATGGGGAAGCCAAAAGGAGCTGTTCTCTTTCATTATGCCTGACAGAAATGCTTAAGTTTAGAGGTTTTTCTTCCTGAGTGGTCTCTAAGCCCAGGAAAATCTGAGATCAAGTTGTGGTTTCCATGAAGCCCTAATTATTCATGACATCATGCTACAACCCAGAATGCCATTAATCACTTGGTGCTGAGCAAAGGGATTTTGTGCATGTGTCTGTCTGGTGGGGGACCTCATCTAGAATTTAAAAGTTTGGAAAAGCCCTCTGAGCTCAAGTCCAACCATTAACTCAGCACTACCAAGCCCATCACTAACCCATGTCCAAGAGCCACATCTACATGTCCTTTAAATCCATCCAGGGATGGTGATTCCATCACTGCCACGGGCAGCCTGTGCCAGTGCCTGCCCACCTTCTCAGGGCAGAAATTCCTCCTAATATCCTGCAAGGCTGTAAGATAAGGAATTGCAGACTGGATCTCGAAATCCATACCCTGTTTTGGTTGGTGTGGATGATGATTTTGATTGAAGAGCTGCACTCGGGTGGCCTGCAAAACAGAGATAGTCAGGTGTAAGATGTATTTTCAGTGCTGGTGGGGCTTTGGTTTGTTTTTAGAAACCCAAGCCTCGTGTCTCTGAGCAGGAAGGACACCTTCCTGCAGCTGTGCTGCCAATGGGAGGCAGGAATCTAATGGTAGGGATATTGCCTGAGGTTTGGCAGATATTTAGGAGAGATAAGGATGCTTCACAGAAACAGTTCATTTTCTTCTTCACTCAGGACTGCATGACTCTCAGAAATGTGATTATAAATTATTATTATTATATATTATCAGGGCAGAACTATTATCTGAGTTCAGATGTGCTGTTACTGTGGATGCAGATTGGCCAAGTCCTTCCTAGTTATCACATTACCTAACTTAGCACTTAAATATTATTTTTCTTCCACTTGTGCAATGAATAATGTGACTGCTTAGTAAGTCCCATATGGTGGCATTTTGCATTTGGTGTGAAGTTTTAAGTTTTTAACCAAGTGAATATCATCTCCTGTACAGATTGACATCTGCCATTAATGCCAACACTTAGTGTGTAACATTGAATAAGCCAACTGAGAAGTTTAGGATTCTAACTTTATATTTTAGCCTTCCACCCCTGCTTGTTCAGCTTCTTCCTTCCTGTTATTCTTGTCTGTGAGGTGTTCATTTAGTCCAAAATTCTTGCTTGGTTGACAGCACAAAACTATCACAGAAAACAGTTTTGTTTCTGTCAAAGACTAGAAGACTTTAAACACTTGAACTTCAGTTTTGACCTCTAAATGTCAATGAAGTTTAACAGTAATATTTTATGTATTTTTAAGCCTTAGTTTTGAGCCTTACTCAGCCTGAAAACAAGCTCTGCCTTTATATTTATGCAGGGTAGGAAAGAACTATTCTTTCTGAAATAAAAATACAGGAAAACAGATAGGTTTCCAACACATCTTACTCCATGTGTTAACAGATGTGCTTTAGTAGCTTCTAAATGAACCTTGCCCAATGCTAGGATGATAAATCAGACAAATGAGCCAAAGCAAAATAAACTTGAAATCCCTCAGTTGAATCCAGTGTTCAGACACACAAAATGCCAGCACATTGGTGGCATTTTTTTGATTCTCCTAAATCCAAATAACAGTGTGGGCCATCTGCTATGTTAGAAGAGTAATGTAAAATGGGCAAAACTATCTCGAGAACTTCCTGTACCAAAAGATCAGTGTCAGCTCTCTGAATTCTTCATGTGCACAGCATCAGCACAGTTATCAGGCTTTAACACTATGCAAGGTGCTGCAGACTGAAGGCTGCAAATTTAGAGCTCCTAGTTGGAGGGTCTAGAAGCTCTTTAACTCATCCAGTGTGACTCTTTCCCAGGTACTTGCCATCCTATTTCTGAATCAGGGCAAAACAGATAATTTGTTGTTTGGAAAATCATGAAAACCAGCTTTAGGATCACACTTTTATTTATTTTTTGATCCCCAAAGCAGCTGTGCTGTTTGAAGGGTCAGCACTTCCTCTGAAAACCTGCCAGATGGATTTCCAGAGCTGGCTTGCCTTCCCAGTGGGGTTATTGCTGTGCTGTGCCCTTCAGACATCTGCTGCTCAGCATCCCACATCTCCCAACTGCACCAGTGATGCTCAAAGAACATCCTTCAGCCACTCCTACAGGATTGACCTCCCCACATCCTCCCAGATTAACGTGGAAGCAGATCCATCACAGCATGACAAAGACAGCAGTGGGGTGCAGCTGGATCCTGGAGAGGCTGAGGAAAATGAAGAGCAGAATATAATTTTTAGGCACAACATCCGTGTGCACACACCCAAAGGGAACTGTGAACCTGTGAAACTCCACATTAAGGAGCTGTTGGAAAGGGTGGAGAAGCTTGAGAAGGAAGTGGCAGAGCTGAGGGAAGTTTGCAGCCCTCAGAAGTGCTGTGGGGGAAGCCCAGGTAAGTAACAATTGTGGTATCTGCTCTTAATTCCCAGGCACAGCCTGTTTATTCACTGCAGAGATCTGAGGATTGGAATCATTTCTCAACAACAGTGGGGGTTCTCCATGTGCAAAATACTTGAGTCCTTCACATGGGATGGTTCCCTGGTTTCTGGGATGTGAGAGGAAATCTGGAGGTCCCAAAATGTGGCAGTACATAACATTTCTGGAACCAGCACAGGGGAAATCTCTCCAGGCATCTTTCAGAAGTGGGAGGAAACACATTCCTGAGTGTCAGGGAGGTGGGAGGATTCAATAGAGGATTTTCTGGTGGACAGCAGGGTGAAAGGTGAGGAAGGCACTTCTTGTTGCTGTCTTTTTCTTTCTCAATTTTAGCCACTGTGGAGAATTTGTCTTTTTCTTTCCTCTTTGCTGAGTGACTAACAGAAGAGCAGAGTTTAGGAGGATGATGGTTTGCAGTGGCCACTGCCTGGGACCACAGTTCCACACTGCACGGCCTCTAAGAAAAGGTTTAACAAACTGGTGTTTTTTGTGGAATGGACACAGGGAAAGTGCCAAGTCTTTGGTCACATGAAAAATACAGGTGTATGGCTGATGGGAATAACGTGCTCTCCATCTTAATAGTAACTGTGGTGAGAAATGGTGACCTTAAATTACAACGGGGAGATTCAGGTCAGAGGTGTAAAGCTTTCTAATTGACTCTGGGGTGGTCCTGGAACCTGCATTCCTGCCGACCACAGGAAAATATGTTGGGAAGGGCAATGGTGGAGTTGGGGCAGATGGACAAGGCGATGCCATCAGGTCTCTTTTAGCCCCTATTTTCCAGTGATAGTTATGCCGGTCTATCGCCGCGTTCCTAACTTTCCCTTTCGCTTTATGTTTGTTTCCTCTCCTCTGCCACACCTGCTGCTGTGCCCCCTGGTGCTGCTGTGGCCAGGTGTTAGTTCTCCCTTCTGTCTGGCAATCCGAGTTTCCCTCTCCAGCTCCCACACCCTTTTAGTTCCTCCTGTAGGTAAACCAGCCCTGGGAGTCACCGTGTTCTTCTTGGAGTTTCTGCTGCCTGAGTGGGCCTTGCCTTCAAGAGTTGCCTGGAAAACATTGCTGAAATGGGAAAAGGTGGAAATGCAGCTCAAGGTAGCGCTAGCACCAGCCTGTGTTCAGCAGCTGAAAGAGAGGACAAAATGGGCATGGAGCCTGTAATTAAAGAGGGAGGCAGTCTGCTTCTTGACATAAAATGAGACAGTATAAAACCATGTTTGTGGAAGTGTGCACTGCTTGCCGATGGGGTAGTTGATTTAATAACACCTGTGAGACAAAGCACATGTAAATCCTTTGAAGTGAGGTCTTTGGGAAGTTCTCCCTTATCCTGCTTCGTTACAAGGCAGTAGGATTTGCCTGAGGAGACCTGAGTGAGCTGACCTTGAGGGGAGTGTCCAGCAGCTTCTGCTTCATTCTGCAAAACTCACAGCCTCCCTACATCCACAGATTGGTACTCCAGGCTTCAGCACACAGCCTTTTACCCTGGAAGTGCCTTTCCTCAGCACATCACTGTTTGATTCTAATCTTTCACAGCTCCCAGTGAAGGAGAAGTAGGGAAGAGCCACACACTGACCAGCAGGTGTTGCTCAGCAAGGGTTTGCAGGGACCTGACTCACAGGTTTGTTCTGCTCTGGATCAGGTTTGATCTATCTGCTTAGAGAGTCACCTTTCAAATAAAAGATTATTAGCTGAAATTCTTCCCCTAAAACAGAGCTCTGGATCAAAACTTCACTCCTCCCGCTCCTTTCACACTATCCAGAAGTGTTTCCCCGTGGCTCCAGCACTCTTTTCCCCTGTCAGTAGACTGAGATTTGCTGCTCAGGAAGCAGCACCTTTACTGGCAAGAGGTGGCAAGCAGAGGGGTTTCTCCCAGAGGAGAAACAATCAATTCTCCCAGAGAACTGTCTCCCAGTCAGCCTCTGCCAAAGGGTTGGCTGGGTCCAGCCTTGCACCCTCTTCCTTCCACCCCACCTGCAGCTGTTTTACAGGCTGAGAAAGCATTCTGTGTTCTGAGTGAGCACGGAGTTAATGCAGATAGCACAACCCATTTTGTTACTGTTTCTGAGCACTGCACCTCCAGTCCTGCTTAAAAACTCCACGTCCTAAGGCAAATGGTTCCCACCTCAGCAGCTGTAGCCAGGTGCTCCTCTCCCAGGGATGTCAAACTGCCTGTTTTGTTCCAGTCTGGGTTAGATTTTTGCATGTTGGGAGACTTACACTGAGCACTGGTTTTGTTTATTTATCATCATTATTACTATATCCTATTTTTGTGTGTCTCAGATCATGAAATGACATACTTTGTTATGTATTGCCATGGTAACTGGAGTGTCTGAGCATTTAGAAGCTGCTATCAAGCATGCCACAGTATAATGAATGCCTTGCAGTTCCTTCTGAAGGACAAATAGAGGACAAGGACATGTTGAACAGCAGAGAGGCAGATACAATCCTCTTCCCAGCTCTGCTTAGACAAGGAAAAAACCACACCACATGTATTTAGGTTCTTTATTATTTTACTGCAAAGCTGGACTATTCAAATCTCACAAGAAGATACAAGATGAACAGTCTCAGGTTTTGTACAAAGTCTTCAATAAAAGCAGTGGCATGCACAGAGGAAAATGAAGGTGTGTTTGGTGAAAGCTGGGAATGGCACATGGGAATGAATGCTGCCTTTCACCTTAGAAGTATCTCCTGATGTTATCTGACCTCATGTTGCTGACAAATGCCTTTTTACAGGCACTTACTATCTATTTTTCACTATCAGTTAGTGCCTTGCTAATGAAATACAGCTGTAGATGGTTTGATCAGCTTGGATGTGCTCACTTGTAATTAAAATCAGGTAAACTTGGTGGTGAACAGAGGCTCTACATTGACTGCTTTCAAGGGCTGCTTCAAGACACTGATGAGCTGTCTGTCTTGTGGCAAAACAGTGAAGGCACTGCTGGTGTTCTGAAATAAATTACAGGCAGCAGGGCTGCCCAGATCTCCTCCAGGCACCAAGTACAAGCTTCCATCAGTACTCAGTCAGGAAAGTTCAGTTTTCTGCCTCTGCCATGGAGAAGCTGCATTCCCCAGAATTGGGGAGCAGCTGACATTTTGAAATGGCTGACAGTGATAGGAAAAGAGGGGTTTGGCTTGTCTTTCTCTTCTGAGATGCACTGGAAGGGACAGCTCTGTGTGAGATTTTTTTCTCATGTCAGTGTGGGTTTAGAAGCTGTAAAGAGTCGCCCACAAAATTATTGTATTTGTTACTGCAGTATTCAGCTGGATGCAGAAGGCACTACAAGGTAGGCAGGGTGTCAGTCCTAGCTGCTTGTTCTCCAGACATGTCTGCAGCAGCAAGTTCTCCTAGGCTCTTCCCAGGACTGAATGAGCCTGATCCTGCTGAGCTTAGGAGGTTGTGTGGAAAGATTCTGTGTTTGAAGCAGTCTCTCAAAAACTGAAATACCATTTGGTTAGCAGCTGTTAATATGTTATGCTGTCTGCTTGCACTTGGTAAAAACAACAAAAAGTTTGGTGATTTTGACATTTTTCTTGCTTGTAGCACAACAGGTGGGAGCTGAGAGCCAGAAAACTCCAGAGTTGGAGTGTTACCATGGATTAAACTAAGGCTGGTGAAATAATGATTGTGCTGTACTTGCTTAACTCCTCAGTGTGGCTGAGGAAAATGTCTCAGGTCTCAGAAGGGCACCTGGGCAGGGAGGAGGACTTCCTGTCTCGTATTTACCTTTTTACTATTGACTTGATGCTGCTTCCTCATGGCTTTCTGCTGTTCTTCCCAGCCCTGGCTGCTCTCAGTGCCGTCTGGGTGACAGAGGAGATGGAGCACTCTCTGGAAGTGGAGTGGGAGAACCCACCAACAGATGTGGATTATTACAAGCTAAAATTCAGATCCCTGGTAGAGACGGATGAGAAGCAGGTCATGGTGCCCAAAAGCAATGATCCTAAGAGCAGATACATCCTGACTGGTGAGTATGTGCGGGTATTCCAAACTGGGCAGGGGCAGGGAAAAGTGACAGGAGTGATTGACAGTCAGACCACAGTCCTGAGACAATTCTTCTCTCAGGTGTGAATGGCCACTTTTCCTTCACCTTGTGTGAAGGTGAGAGATCTGGGGCTCCCCTGTTCCATAATGGTTTTTGTCTCCACAAGGAAAAAAAGCTATGCTTTGTGGATAGCAAATTTCAAGGCATAATCATTCACTCATTTAATTCTGTCTTTGTTAGGAATGAAGTGTATTTTTCTGTTTCAGAGTTATATCACAGTTATATCACTGGAAATCCCCACTAGCTGTAGCCAATATACCCTGAGGGCAAGCCTAGACCTATCAAGACATCAAAAAGACAAAAGGAAGTTGGATAGAAATCTGAACTCCAAGTTCTTCTCTGCTATAAATCTAGAACTCAATGGACTAAAAACCCCAGCTTTATTCCAGAAAAAATACTGCCTTCCCTAATTGCTGGTGATTTGGTGTTTGTAGGCCTGAAGCCTGGCACAAAGTACGAGGTCACTGTCATAGCTGTGAAAGACAACACAGAGGGGGAGCCATCCTCAGTGACTGGGAGGACTGGTAGGTGGGAAGCTGTTTTTACTACAGTGATGTTACTGCAGGGTTTGGGGACAGGTCTGTCAAGATTCCAGCACAAAAGGTGCACTTTCTGGTGCTTCTTCTTGCATCACCTGCAGGTCTGGTGATCCCTTCTTTGAGCTTACCCATGCTGTATACTGGAAACTAAACCTAGGTTGAGGTCAATCTTTTGCCTTGGTTTTTAAATCCCCAGTAATTTCACCCTCAGTTTGATTAACAGCTCCATCCAGACACAGGATAAGCATAATAAGTTGGCCTCTGTGTGTAATAACAACACTGCTGGATCATTGACTCTTAAGAAAAAAGGCAGAATGTTTTTGAACTATCCTGCTGCAAAAGTGAGCTTGAAGAATTTTGAACTGTCATTCTACCCGTAAGATTCTGGAATCTCTGAAATTTAGCTCTTACAAAAGGGTAGGTGTGCCGCTTCCAAAGACTGAAAAATCCCTCATCAGGCTTGACATTTTCCTGAGGTTGTTTGGAAGATTAGTCCATTAAAAGAAAACTAATTTTAAACAACAGAACCTGCAACCTCCACACTGCCATTGTAAGGCTGCTCCTCTGCCCTGTGTAGGTTCTGATTATTTGGAACACCCTTGACTTGTGTTTTCGAGCTGTTCTTGACAGACATGGGGGCTGCAAAACTTCTTAAAAAAGGGAAAAAAAAAACCCCACAATGAGTAATCCTGCTGGTGTTCTTATGTAACCCCTGGAGTTTAGGTGCAACTAAGACAAATACCAGCTTCTTCAAGAGCTACCGCTGAACTGTGATTCACCACCTAAAATAGCAAAGCCTTGGGGGAGTCTGAGAGACAGGTCTGCAGGGTGGGCACAAAGGGAGGAGCAGCAGATGGCTGAGAGTGGAGCAGGGGAAGGGTGAGCCCTGTGCTTGGAGCTGGGAGAGGGCAAGCTGGGAGCTAATCCTCAGGTTGGTTCCTGTGGAAGGTGAGACAGGCAGCCTGTGAGCTCTTCTTGCAGTAAAAATGGAAAGTTTCTTCTAAATGGTGGAACAGTCCTGCTTCCTCCCCACCCTGGTTTCTCATGGGTGCCTTTCTTGAGGGGATGGAGTGGGGCAGCCACAGCTTCTCTGGGCAACCTGTGCCAGGGCCTCACCACACTCTGGGTAAAGAATTTCTTGCATAACATGCCATGAACAGGTATTGTAGTGGTTTAATTCATCTGGAGGTTGCTAACCCTGCACTTTGAAATGCTCTCTCAGGAGTTAATAGCCCAACCAACGTGACAACTGACCAAGTGACAGAGGGTACTGCCACTGTCTCGTGGAATAAAGTGGAGGCTGCCATAGAGAGGTACATGGTGAGATACATCTCAGCTGATGGGGACACCAAGGACATAGAGGTGGGGACTGACAACAGCACGATCACCTTACTGGATCTGAAGCCAGGCATGGAGTATGTCACCCACATCTGGGCAGAGAAGGGGCCCCAGAGGAGCAAGAAGGCAAGCACCAGAGCTGTCACAGGTGAGCTGTAGCAGCACCAGAGGGAGCTGAGCTTGAAATTCAAACTCCTGCATCATTTTTACTTGTTTTGGGAAAGCTTCTCCCGCTCTGGACGTGATTTTATTGAGGCAAAAAAATTCATGTAATTCTTACTAGTGTGGCTGAACAGGTCTCCAGCTCAGATTAAGACTCTGAGTCCTGTTGTGGACAGACCCTATGGCAAGGGACTGGTTACTGCCAGTACAGAGAACAGTGAAATCCAGCCAAAACTAAAACCTCATAACCAGTTGGAATGTGTAGTTCATACCTTGCCTTTAAAATGCCATGAATCATCTCCAAGCTTTTCTCTGGGTGACTGTTGTGGCCTTTCCCAACAGAACAGGGGGCTCATACCCATTTTGCACATACAATCAGAGTGTTTGTTAAAATGGAAACCCAGATTTATTTGGTTCATGGCATAAATTAAGAATTATGGGGGGAGCCAAATCTCCCAAAGAGGACATTTGGCCACTGTCCTTTGGTGACAGGGAGTCTCCATTGGAAGGGTGCTTGCAGCAGCATCTGCAGCTGGGCTGGGAGATGCCCTGAACCACTGTCTTAAGCAGTTTGTACAATCCAGCCAGCCACGTGTGGCTGTGTGTACAAGAGCAGGTTCCACTGACTGTTCGCCAACGTCTCCTCCATGTACAATCTGCACTTCTACACCAAAATGACCTAGGGGAGCGCTTGGGATGCTCCACTCAGGGTGTTCACCAACACATTTAAATGTACAGATTGGACTGGACACAACAGGAGCTGCCTCAGGGAATTTGTTGGACTGTCTGAACTTCCCACATGAGGGGCTCAGTCCATCCCTTACTTGAGCCAGTCCCTGTTCCCACTGGTGACTGGGCTGGGAAGCTCCTGGCCCACCCAGGGAGTTAAGGAGTTAAAAGCACTGCACATGAAGAGCAGCACAGCCCATACCCAGCTGCAGTGCAATCAGAACTAAAGAACAAACTTGATTTTCATATCACACAGGAAAATCATTCCTGCTTCATTTTTCTCTTGCCACAGGTGAGCATCTCATACTGCTAACGAGCTGAGCTGTGATTATTCAAATTCCCAGCTCCCAGCCTGTGCCACTCTGGGGTGGCACAAACAGCATCTTTCATTAAAATGAAAAGTAATGTGTTTTTGTCTCACAAAAGAGGGGAGATTAGTACACCCAGGTGGAAAATCACAACTTTTACCATAGCTAATGTGTGGTAAATCACAGTGCAGCTAAGCTGGTGTGTGCTAAATTACAGTGTGGCTGTCAGAGGGTTGTGCATTTGTGCCCTGGAGTTTAGAGCCTCCAGCAGAATAAGAAATGCTGCTCCAATAATTGGAGAGGCATCTGCAAGTCCTTCATTGGTCAGGCTGCCAAGATGTATTTAGCAGTTCAGCAAAGGAAAAAAAGCCAAATAAACAACATGTTCTGCATAAGGTCATGGGCTGTAGGGCTGCCCTCAAAGGGCCACATTCCTGCACGCTGTGTTGTGATAAGAACTTAATGCTCCTGAAATCTAGTGATGTGTTTCCATCTGTGAACAGGGCAGGGGAATGATTGTAATAGCGGGAGGAGATTGAAGGTGAAATAATCTTGTTCCAGGAGAGCTGCATTTCACAGACTGTGAGCAGGTGATTTGGGGTTTTTTTTTGATTAATTCCCAGAACAACCCATGCAAGAAGTGGTGATCTCCAGGAAGCAAAAGACAGCCTGGGCTGTCTCTCTGCCTGGGCAGGGTTGGCTGTGCCTTTGTTGATCCCCAACAAAGAGCTCTGCTCTTGTAGCTGTGAAGAGACCTGGAGCTCAGCTGAAATACCTCAGAACTGGGCACCTCCCAGCTTGGTAAGAAATAAAGGGTGAAAAGTGAAGGAAATCAGCAGGCCCCTTGAGAAGAAGGAGTAAGAGTAGCCTCACTGGGACACTCGTGTTTTATCTTCCTTGCACTGTATCCAGCAGAACAAAATGATTTGGCTCCATGAATGGTGATATCCAGTGGTTACTTGTTATTTACACTGCATGATCGAAACACAGTTTGTAGCTAAAGATAAAACTTCTGGTAGATTTACCAGTTTGGGCTGGAGAAAAAAAACCCAAGCTTTTGGATACACAGGCACTTTTAATGTCTTTAGACATAGAATCACTTCTCAAAGCTCATCTGTTTTTCCAAATGTATTTGATAGTCCAGTTAAACACACTACCTCTGCCTGTAAAACCTGTGTTGTCTGTGTCTTTGGGCCATTATGATTACCACAGGACTGTAATACAACTTCTAATAATTGTGACTTTTGCTTACAGAAATCGACAGCCCAACTGAACTGTCGTCTGACCAAGTGACAGAGGATGCAATTACTGTTTCCTGGAACAAAGTGCAGACTTCAATAGACAGATAGAGAGTGAGCTACTCCTCAGCTGATATGGGGACACAGAGGAGAGAGAGGTGGAGGAAGACAAGAACATCACTACCTTGGCAGGACTGGAGCCAGGCACGGAGTACATCATTTACATCTGGGCAGAGAAGGGAGAACAGCAGAGCAGGAGGGTCAGCACTGAGGCTGTGACAGGTGAGTGGGCAGTAGATTTTGTTGAGTGTAAGCTCAGAGATCGGGCACCATTAGGCTTAGTCCATCCTGGACACGCAGTTTACCACCACGCTGTGATCTCCTCTGTGCTTTTTCATGATCTCTGAGCTTTGATCTTCCCTCTCCCAAAACAGGGAGCTCAGGCATGTCTGTGGAAGTGCTTCCAGGTCTCTCCAAACACCTACATTATCTCTACACAGCAATCCACTTATATTATTAAATGTAACAGTATAAATACCTGCCTGTAGGCTGCCATAACAGAGACTAACGCTGTAGGTGATTCTAGAAGAGGCAGATGCTGTAATACAAGAGTGATGACAGCTGATGGTCCTTGTTTCACTAGTCCTTCCTCAAAAGCATGCAATGCTTCACGTGCAGCTACCAAGCCCAACAACAAAAGTTTAACAACCAAAGTGAAACCATTTTAGAATTGGAGACAGTTAAAAATAATGGCCTGCCCTTTGACTCGTGACCTTAGGCTGGTCCTAAGAGACTGCCAAGCAGGCTGAAATCTGTCCTGTTCAGTCAGCCATAAGGATTGTGATGTACTGGGAACATTCAGGGTCACTCCATATCCATTGACCTTGTTAATGTACTTATTTTTAGTTTATGAATCCAGCTGGTGTGAGATAGATGGGTTGAAGCTTGAATTTAGGGCAAGCCAAGGAGTGCTTGCAGTGGCTGAGGGCAGCTGATGGGGACAAATGGAGATCTCTTGAGGTCAAAAGGCCAAACCTATCTGGAACTGGAAATGCAAGGACTGTTTCAGCAATTTCAAATGGGTTTTTTTTTGAACTGGCATGAAAACAGAGGCACCTGGAAATTTCTCGCGAAGTGAAACTGTCGGGAGAGGGAATGCATTTAGCATTAGTAGGGATATTTTTGAAGTATCTTCACAAAAACTGACACCTCTGCTAAAATAATATAACTTCTGAGGAAAAAAAGAATACAACTTCTCACTCAAGGTGGACCTCCTGCTCCCACGGGATCTGCCGGCTGGCCCTGAAGGGCAGCGCTGTGGGACTGCAGCCTCTGAGCCTGCCTTTCCCAGCCCTGGCTTCTCGGGATGGAATTCGTTCCTTTTAGCTCCCTCTCCTGTCCAGCGGGAGGCACACAGGCAGTGAGCTGCTCTGAGGAGGTTTCTGGGCTGTTTTACTTAAAGCAAGTGTTTAGTGCTCTCCCAAACGAAGCCCGAGTTCGTCAGGTGATGGAGTAATGCTTAACTCCCGAGCCCAGTGAAAGGTGGTCTCGGGTTGTAATGAATAACCAGCGTTTAAACACCATGGTGTGTGAAATACAGTGTTACTGTCCCTGCCCCTCTACTTGGCGTTTTGATTTCTTCTCTGCCTTTTTTATCTGCTTTAAGCAGTAACCTTATGCATGAGGAGTGCAGCATTTCCTGGGAGGAGCCACCCTGCTCCACTCGTCTCATTTAAATAAGACAGGCAAAACTTGGCCTCGGCTTTCTCCATGACCTTTTCACAACTGTATTTTTTCACTGATGCATTATAATTGTTGCTGTGTTTATGCTTGCAGCACTCTTCAAGGCCTGGGAGGCTTCATTGCCTGGTTTATACAGAGAAGAACTGAACTGACAGACAACAACATGCCCACAGTCCTCCAGGGAGGCTTGTGGATGAGCAGGGAATTGAAATGAATTTTTCAGTTATAGTTTAAAATAAACTCAGGTGTAGTTCAGGGTTGGAGCACCCATCCCTGGAGGCCAGCACTGCCCACCAGGGACCTTCTCTCTAAAACTTCCAAAGTCAGACAAACCTTACTTCTCAAATTGTTTTCCTTAAGATGTTCCCAAAATACGTAGAATACAGTAAGCACGGGATGAGAATTAGGGAAAGGCTGCTTCCATTGCTGTTACTTTCAATGGAGATTTAAAAATTGCATTTATCCCGAGGGAAGCACTGCAGCCCTGGTGTGGGTATCTTGTCAGAAGCTTTTTGACTGCTGCTGTGACCTAATGTTGCATTAAAATAATTCATTTCTTCTCCTTGTGCTGACCTTGGGCAGTCTGAGTGCTCAGGAAAAGTCTGGCTAAGCCTTTGTTGCCGGTGAAGGAGCTGGTGTCCCATATCCAGCACAGACTGAACTGTAAAGCTCTGGGTTTCTTTAAGTTCCTGCATTCACTAAAGAAAGCTGAGGCACAACAACACTGTGAAGTCATCCTTCATCTGCAGGAGGGGAACCAGGGGAAGGGGCTCTCAATCATTTATGCAGTGGGACTTGACTTTTCTTTTTCAGTAGGGATTGATCCTCCCAAGAACCTCCGTGTGTCAGAGGTGACTCATTCTACTGGTGTGGTTACCTGGGCCCCTCCTGCAGCACAGATTGATGGCTACTCCCTGACCTACCAGGGTGTGTGTGGCACAAGCGAGGTACAGCAAATTCCTGGAATTCTTCAGTCCTGCAGATCCCCCTGAAATCAATCCTGTGATTATGGGCTGTGCCAGTTGGGTCTTGTGGGTATGTGGACCACAGGAATTTTGAGCAGGAATCTATGCTGCGTATGGCCCAGGGAGGGAGAGTTTAAGGAAGGAGATGTGCTGCTGTCATGAGTAGAAGCTGTGGAAGGACTTTGTGACAGTGTAATGCCTCTTCCCAGCAGATCCAGATGCAGAAAACAGGGTTACCTCTTCACTTCTCTACCTTTTTAATACCTGGAAGGACAGCACTCATTAAGGACAGATTGTCCTAGGAGTGTTTCTTGAGACCTTGCCCTAAATCTCCCTTCTGGGAAGGTGGATTCCATGTTTGAAGGATAGGCTGTTTGAACCCTACAAGAGAAGCCTGTAAATGCACGTGGGGTATGAGGCACTGTGGTCAAGGAGAGCTAAATAAATGCTGTTCAGAGCTGGGTGACCTTTGATCCGTGTTACTTGGCAGGAAGTACAGCTGGATCCCAGCGAACAACGGTTTGTGCTGGAAGGGCTGGAGCCAGGAGTGAGGTACACTGTCTTTGTGAAGGCCTACAAGGGACATCACCAGAGCAGAAGGACAGTCAGTACCTTCTCAACAGGTAGGAATTGGCCCTGCATGTTACGTTTTCCCTGTGCTCTGCAGCTGCTGTGTTTTGTGGTAGAGGTTACAGATGGAGTTCGTGTCCTGCAGATGCACTGGCAAACTGTGATCATGAGCAAACCATACAGCAAATCCATGGTGTGTCTCCTGGCTGGGTGGCCTTTCTAAGCCCCGCCATCTGGAGGCTTGGAAGCACAGAGGGACAGTGTGAGTGGAGATTGCCCACGCTGGTCAGTGCTGCTGGCAAGCCTTGGTAGCCAAGTGAGAGACAAAGGCTGCTGGTGAGCTGCCAGTGGGCAGGAGAGAGGATGATACACAGGAGATCTTTCTGCACATCCCAGTAAAGGCAGGGCATGGCGGTGTAAGTACTCTCAGGGCATTGGGTAGCTGCCCAGGTTGTTCAGAGGTCAGCAAATCCAACAAATCTCATGCCAGCCTGCTTTGGGAGACTCTCATACTGTGCCAGTGCCCACAGGGCTGCCAATTGTGGATTAGTTGTGAAATGCACTCTCACCTTTACAAGCAAGGGCTCCTCTTCCCACTGTCACTGTGAGCCAAGGCTGGGTTGTTTTGTCTGGGCAATCGTGACAGGACAAGGGGCAGTGGTTTTAAACTGACAAAAGGGCAGGTTTAGATTGGATGTTAGGAAGAAATTCTTCTCTGGGAGGGTGGTGAGGCACTGGCAAAGGTGACCCAGAGAGGCTGTTGTTGCCTTATCCCTGCAAGTGTTCAAGGCCAGGTTGGATGGAGCCCTGAGCCACCTGATCCAGTGAGTGGCACCCGTGCCATGACAACCGTTCTGGGATTCTATGGTTCTATCTCTTGCAGCCCCTGGGGACTCCATCCATGTGCCAGCTCCCAGGCAATGGGGAAAGCTGCCAGCAGCAACCTCCTGATGCAGCTGGGCACCGTGTGAGGGCACAGCAGGGCCTGCTGCTTTCTGTACTTCTCTTCAGTACCATTGTCCACAGGAGCTTCCTGAGGGCGTGACGTGCCTCCTCCAGCTCCTTGGCCTGCTCTGCTGATGAGTTTTGCCCCCTCTCTTCTCCCAGGGAGCCTCCTGTACCCATATCCCATGGACTGCAGCCAGGTGCAGCAGAATGGAAATGGCTCCAGCAGTGTGTACACCATTTACCTGGCTGGGGATGGCAGCAGGCCACTGCAGGTGTACTGTGACATGGCCACTGACGGAGGAGGGTGGATAGTGAGTGATGCTCTGCTCCTCTTCCTGCTTTTTGATGACACTGCTGTCAGCTCAGGCTCCTTTCACTGCGGCACTCCTGTGTCATGGCTCCTGCTGGATGGAGTGGCATGTTTTAGGGAGGGTGGTGAATGCTGATGTACCCACATCAGCAGCACTAAACCAGAGTTTTTCACTCTTGTTTCTCTGGAAGGACACACAATAGAAAGTGATGCTTGACCTCTTATCTGCCTTCTCCAATAAAAGGCTGATCTTGTGGCTGCAGAAATGATAAGAAGTGCCTCCTGACAAGCTCCTACTTACTTGGTCTGAGAGTCTTAATATGGGCAGAACAGGGGTCTGAGTCAAAGGCACAGATTTAAAGGCTCAGGCAAAAACCCAAAGGCCTATGCTTTTCACAAAACAAAAAGTTATACCTAAGCCTTGCAGTGGAAGGAGGAGTCATCCCAGAAGGGTTATGACAGTCAATGCAGTTCAGCTGATGCCTGTTAGTGTTTACCTGCTAGTGCTGTGAGCACACACCTGGACCCGGCCACACAGGAGGTGTTGAGTGGCTAGAAGGAATCCGCAGGCAGAAGTACAAAAAATACCTTCATTACCTTTTTCACCTTTCATTTTCAGTGATAAATGATTACTGAACTAAATTGCTGTATGTCACTGCCCAAGCCCATCTAACTTTGGTGGATCTTGTCTGTAAGCCTGTTCTAAGTGTTTAGATCACGCTCAGATTTGTGGAAAGTAAACTGTAAAATTTGCACAACTAAATATTCACCCCAGTGCTTCTGTGCAGCCAGAAAATGGAAATGGATTCCTGTGTGTGCTCAGATGTAGTGTGCCATCATAAGGTTGGCCTTGATGATCTTGGAGGTCTTTTCCAACTTTAACGATTCCATGATCAACTAGGGTTGTCTCTTCCTGAGGCTTCACTTTTTTGTCTGTGTTTTAAGTCAGGATGAGCATTTCTCACCCTCATCCTCCTTGCTTTTCCTCATTCCCTCACTCCACAATGCTTGCTTTGCAGGTGTTTCAGAGGTGGAGCACTGGTGAGGTGGATTTTTACCAACACTGGAAGAATTACGTGGAGGGCTTTGGAGATCCCACTGGGGAACTTTGGCTTGGTACAGTACATGGGTGTAACCAGTGAAGAGCTAAAGACTGGCTTTGTAGAAGCATCTAAATGGTGGCATATCCAACCCTCTGATCCTGTAGTCTTGAACTGTCAGCTTCTGTGTCTTCCCTAGCAATGCCAATGAAGCATTGAGGGATCTTTAAAGGCCCACTAAATATATCCACTGATATTTTTGGGCTTTGGAGCAGTCCCAGAGCAAGCCAAACTCTGTAAAGGTTTATTTCAGGCTTTTGTGTTCTCATGAGAGGGGAAAATGAAGAAATTTTATTTGTGAAAATGCAAAGACCAGGAGACTCCACACAACTCGGTGTACTCGGTCGTTTTTTGTCTGTCTTGTTCTGTTAGTGAACAATGTGTGAATCAGAGAATCCAGCATTAAATAGGGCAAGGTTTTTGGAGCAAGAGTCTTTAAATGTTCTGGGAAAAATAATGTCACAGTACAGCCAGTCTTGTGCTGGTTAAGGCTGTTTGTTTTTTCTGATACTGCTGTCTCTGGCCAGAAACTGAGATAAGACAGAGTAAACTTGGCAAAATGTCATGACAGCATCAAGCAGGGACGGAGGCGGGGGTAGGAAAAAGCTGATTTAACCCAAATGGCCATGGGGTGAGAGCCTAGGACTGCAAAGGTGAACCCTTTTAAGAGTAATTGTTTTTTATTTCTAGGTCTTGACAAGCTGCACAACCTCACGAGCAGCAGCCCCGTCCGCTACAAGCTCCGTGTGGATTTGCGGACAGCCAGCGAATCCGTCTGCGCTGTCTATGACTCCTCCTGGGTTGCCTCGAGCAGGGAGAGACACAGGCTGTCAGTGGGGAGTTCTGGTGAGCAGGGCCCTGTGCTCGTGCTGTCTCTGCTCAGCACAGGGAAGCAAATGCTGGGACCTGTGTGTTTCTTTTGCCAATAGCACGGGACCTCCTTCCTTAGGTCAGGTTAGATCAGATGTGGTTCTCTCTGAGGAGAAAAGTGTGTACTTCCTAGCAAGACTGAAGAGAGTGTACCCAAAGGCCTGTCTCGTGTCAAAGACAGGAGAAAGAGTTGCTTTTTTATGGAGAAGAGAGCGTTCTGTAACCCAGGGAAATGAAAAGGCAAACTGGGAAGCATTTCTATGAGGTAACCAGTCCTGATGGGGCAGCAACTTCTGGGTCTCCCCAGCTAAGAGTGGACAAAAAAGTGGTTTTTATTCAGGATAGGAGTTTGCTCAACAGCAGTGCTGGCTTCTGCCACTGGTAAATCCTTACCGCTGCTATTGTGTCCATAGGCTTCCACTTATCCTTTAATATCCCCTTGCTGTAAGGCTTAGATCTTCAGCTGGGAGGATCCAGCCATTGGGCATGCCCTCCAATAGCAGTGCTTTAGAAATTAGTGTGCAGACCTCTGCTGTGCTGTGGCTTTTCCCCTGCCAGGCCTGCTGTGTCCTGCCTGAAGGGCAGATAAGCCCTGAGGCTGAGCAGCTGTACCCGTGTCTTCCATCCCTTCCCTCAGGGGATGCAATGATCTACCACAACAGCTGGAAGTTCACGATGTGGGACAGAGACAACGACGTGGCTCTCAGCAGCTGTGCCCTGACCCACCACGGCGCGTGGTGGTACAAGAACTGCCACCTGGCCAACCTCAACAGGAGGTACGGCGAGAGCAGGCACAGCGAGGTGAGCAGCACAGCTGCCCGTGCTGGTTGGCTCTGGACAAAACACGTGTGGGGGGGTGTCTTTCCTCGGAGCAGGAGAGCTTTTCCAGGCTTTTCTGCAGAGATACTTGAGGTGGAGCTGTCTTGAGGTGAACACCTAAAGGAACACTCACGAGGAGCCTCACTAGGATGCTGGCTCACTGTCTCACATGTACCTTGGCTTTCAGTGCATGCCTGGGGTGCATCTTGCTGTACAGGCTTATTTTGGGCTTGAAGATGGCTCCAGTCCTGCTGTGCTCCAAAGTGGAGAAAGGTTTGATTTATATTAGGAGTATCTGAAAGACTGATCATAATTAGAGTCTCTGTGTATTGGAGGGTTGGTTAAATGGTATTAGAGGGGGGGCCATAGTAGACTCTTAGCACCTGGTCTGGGCACTTCAGTAAAAGAAATTCCTTGGTCTGTTCCCAGGGTGTGAACTGGGAGTCATGGAAAGGCCATGAATTCTCCATTCCTTTTACGGAGGTGAAGATCCGTCCTCAGTCATCCAGTAATGAGGCAGTCCTGGGGAGGAAGAAGAGGTCTTTGTCAGGGAAGAGGAAGAGGATCAGGGCTTAAATCGAACCCTGGGCAGGATAATGATGGAATATTTCTTACCAAAGCTCCCTTCAGACAGCTTTCTCCAACACCTTGGGAACAACTGCTGACCATCGTGTACCCAGGGACATCTGGACCTGCAGCACATCCTGCTTCCAGCCTTTGGAGCTCCTGATGGGTGATCTGCCAGAGGCTGGGATGGGGCTTTTGGGGAGCATCCTGCCTGTAAATGGCCTGTTGGCTAAACATGGCAAGCACCTGCTTGATCCAATATATGCAACTGTGATGAACTTTACGTAAAACAAGCTTTAACATGTACTGTTCCTTCTGAAACTCAGGCTGCAGACTCCATTCCGTCCTTCTCTGGTGCCATCCACTTCAGACTTCAAAAAATTAAATTTGAACCCACTAACAAATAATAGCCCCTAAAATTTACATTGGAGAGAGCTTTCCTGAGACTATTCCCTCTCCCTTTCTTGATCTGTGGTTCCCCATGTTATATCTGGGGACATTCCCTACTCTTTACAGAGAGGGTGATCAGGCATTGGAACGGCCTGCCCAGAGAGGTGGTGGATTCACCATCCCTGGAAGTTTTTAAAAAGAGATTGGACATGGCCCTTAGTGCCATGATATAGTAATTGGAGTTGGATCAGGGGTTGGACTTGATGATCTTGGAGGTCTTTTCCAACCCAATCTATTCTATGATTCTATGATTCTATGATTCTATGATTCTTCCTGCAGAGCTGGGTTTTGGGAAATGTTGCCAGGCTGCTGGCAAAGCTCGTTAACCCAGGCAAATTCTGTAGACTGGGTCCTTCAACCTGCAGTATTGCATCTCTCCAGGTTAAAATCCTGCTATTTTGCTTGTGTCTTCTTGTCTCTTGTGGCCCAAATGAAAACCTGAGGAGCTGTGCAGTTAAGTTGATGTTCAGGGTGAGTGTAAGGGCTACTCTCTTCCAAGCTGTGCTCACCATCCCAAACCTGTCTCTCCCTTCTGCTTGCCTAAGAGGCTGCTTACAGACCATGAACAAAATTCTCTATGTGACTGTTCCATCTGCTGCCTTCTGCTTTTTCATTAGCAGCGTGGCAGGTAGTGATGCTGAAATGATAACGCTTGTCCTCCACCTCTAAAATGAGCATCTCTTGGAGCTAAACTGATCCTGCACGCTTTCCCTTGAGCCTCAGTGCATGGTTTCACGTTTGGCTGCTTTTTTGTTTTAACTCAGTCATAAAGGTGAGGTTTATTTTCTTTCCCTGGGCAGATATTAAAATTCTGGACCACCAGCTCCAGGCAGGGAAGAAGGATGAACTCACCAAATGCTGCTTGCCCAAAGGCTTCCTTGTCTGAACACATTGGAACGTGGCTGTCCTATGTCTTAATGGCCTTTTCTATCCCAGTGCTAAGCTGAGTAATTAATTTTAGAGAATCCTTCCCAGACTTTGGAGGAAATAATAAAATTGCAAATAAAGGGGGTCTTAAAATATTTCTGTCTTCTTTGCTAAGGGTGGTAGAATTGTTTTTCCTCCCATTTAAACGAAGCATTTTGTATGGAGAGAGAGCATTACCCAGTCCCAGAGTGGGGCTCTGCAAATTGGGTCTTTGGGGTCTGCTCCAAAACAGGGAGGGGCACTGTGTGATCTCTTGGTGACCTGACTCTGTGAAGCACAGCTGATCTGTGCTTGCTGGGACCTGGCTGAGGAGAGTGAGCCAGAGGGTTGTCTCCCAAAGGTGAGAAAAGAATTCTTCACAGAACTTTCAGGGCTGTGGCTCTTGTGTGGGTGGGCAGGCAGAGACTCATCGGAGCTGTGTTGGGATATCCAAGCCCTGGACTGGGGGAAGGAGGAGACTGATCGTGAGAGGAGAGGGAAGGGAAATTGCACTTGAAGTGTTTTGCAGGCTCTGTGCTAAGAGCACGGGAGAGGGACACAGGAAGGTGGTGAGGGCTCTTTACTGTGAAGTGCTTTCTCCCTGTTGCCCACTTGTCTGTAGGCAAGGACAGGTTTCAGTCTGTTCAGCTAAAGGACACAGTGAAGTCACCAGGAAGGAGACTGCGAGATTAGTCCTCCTCTCCCTTTCAAACAGCCCCTCTCAAAGTAAGTCTGTGCTCTCAAGGTGTGATTGTTCCCTGCAGCTCTTTCATGTGCAGGGACAAAATACAACCCCACCTGGAAGCATGGAATATTCTCTTAAACTGTATGGGCTTTGTACTTCAGAGCTAAAGGCAAATGAGACACCTTAGTTGCAGTTTCTGAGGAGGGTTTACTCATTGCTCCTGATTGATTATGCACCCTTCTTCCATCAGGAAGGGCCGTCAAAGGGGCGGCTGCTGGAATGCTATTGTGGGAAGTCAGTATTCCCAAACAGCCACAGGATGGCACCGTCTCTTCACTCTAGTGCAGGAAAAACTTCCCCGTATCCAGCTGGCGCCTTCGGAAAGACCTTTTTGGGGTTAACGAGTCTGTGTTACAGCCTGAGAGGCTGGGACTGCTCAGATAATGCAGCTTGTTTGCCTTAAGGAACTGGCTGTTCTGGTTTTGAGGCTCAGGCTGGTAGTAGTTGATGGCTAGTTCCATAAAAATGTCACATACTCTTACTACCCTTGTTTTGCTGCAATAACCGGCCTGGTGACTAATGCTGGAGGGCCAAAACATTCTTGAAACCTCTGCCTTGCTCTGAGATCGCTTAAATTTTATATACTGGTTTGCAACTCTCCCAGAGGCAGAAATTTGAATCCCATCATTGTGTTAATGAGGACTGTCCTGTTGCTGGGTCCTACCAGCCAGGACCCACGTATTGAGACATGTGTGGGGATGCTGCTGCATTTACCCAGGAGGAGGAGGGAGAGGATGCCTCTTCCCCTATGCTGTGATTCAGAGAGGAGACTCCAATGTCTTCCTGCACTGGGCACTTGCTTGGGAAGCAGTGGTGTTGCTTTTGGTTGCTGCTCTGTGCTGTGTTGGCTGAATAAAGTGGAACAGCCAGTGAAGATCCAGTTCTTTCCTCATAGAGGGATTTATTGAGCCTGTTGGGGTGACTTTTGCTTCCCCTCAATCTCTGGAGTGCTCCAGGATGCTGAACTTCACCTCAATCCTTGCATGTTTCTAACCTAGCATCTGGATTCTGTCCCTTCCCTCTGCAGCCCAGGCTACCCAAGAACACCTGGCCCTGAATCCTGTGTCTGACATCTGGAGAGAAGCAAAGTGTGCACTGCTCCCTCCTCCCCCCCCAAGTGTGCCTCTGCCATTTCTAGCTGCTCCTTGCTGTGGTCCTGCACGCCTCTTACACCCCTCTGGAAGGTGCAGCTTGGTGCCTCATCCAGGTGAGAAGCAGGTTTTTAATTTGCACCCTCAGTGGGGCAGGATTTGGAAAGGCTCTGCCCAGCAGAGCTGTGTGCCTGGTTCTGGGACTTGCCCAATACAGACAGCAAGCTGCAGACACTTTGTCTGATCAAAACCAACTGGGGTTAACCAGCCCATGCTGCTGATCCTCTCTGCAAGGAAGGAAAAAAACCCCTCTGCAGCCCACCTCCTGCACCACAAACACAGCTTTTCTTCTTCCCACTTTTTGCCCTTGGGTGGAGGAGCTTGGCTGTGCTCATTAACAAGGCAAGGCCACTCAGCTTGATTAAGCTGAGCTGTTTCTTTAAGGAAATGTCTCTGAGCTGCACAGCTGGCTGCAGGCAGAGACTGCACGGCCTCTGCCTGCTGAGCGCTCTCTCTCTCTCTTATCTACGGCCAGGACACAGATACAGGAAAGATCTCCCCACGAAAATAAACACGACCGAGAGACAGAGACACAGAGTTTGTTTGCAGTTTGAGAGCAATTTATTTTTAGTTAAAAAAAAAAAAATTGCACAAAACTCGTTTTGTTCCCCCCCCCCCGTTGCACGGACTTGTTTAGGCAACTCGAAGGCTGATACTGAAATGCAGTTGGGGGAGGCAGTGTGGAGGTGTCTGGAGTGGGGGCTGTACAGCAGTTTGTCTCCTGTGCACCTCTGGAGCCAGCCCCAGTGCTTTTTTTGGGGGGGAGGCTTGGACCATCGGCTGGTCAGATGGATCAGGTCAAGGTTGTATCCTGGTCCCTCCCTGCCCAGCCTGGCGGTGGTTTGAATGATCATTTTGGGGAGCTCTTGAAATTCAGACCTGGCTCTGAGCTCCCCAAAGCCTGGATCTGGAGATGTGTGTGATGTAACACGTTTTCTTGGCAGTTCTCTGGTTCTTGTAGGAATTGGTTGCCCTCGCCTGACATGTTACCTGCTATCCCTTCTGGAGAAGGAGCCCTGAAAAGCCCAGCACCTCCACACCAGGCAGGCTGTGCTCTGTTGGTGCTGGCTGCCTCCATGCCTCTGCTTGTTTGGGAAGCTTCTGGCCTCCCATGGTGTTTCCCTTTACTCTGAATTTTTTTTTCAGTTCCTCCAGGCAGCACCACCCTGCCTCCAGGGCTGCTCGTGCCTCCGGAGCGCAGCAGGAGCACCTGCATGGGCAGCGTTCCTGCCCACAGGAGGAGGCTGCTTTGGCCACCCGCTGAGCACGGAGGCAGGAGGGCCGGGAAAAGTACCTGGTTGGAGGAAAGGAGGAAGGGAAAAAGGAATGATATGAGTGCAGTGCTAATTCTCCAGGATTCTGGCTGGACTGGATGTTTGGGACAGAGACCAGAGCCATTCCCGTGTGTAATCCTAGGATTACATGTGGCAAATCCTAATTTTTTATACCATTATATGTTGCTTCCTGTTTTGGAGAAGAAAGGACTTGCTAATTTCAATGGTAATAAAGCAAGCTGGAAAACAAGGCACATATGGGGTCAATTTAAAGGGCTGTGTGAGGAGGAGGAGGAGGCTGTTCCCAGCAAAGCCACACTGCAGCCAAACCCCGTGACATGATGTGGCCATCCCGGCCCTGCCTGCGTCGGACAAAACAGGCTGTGCCGGGACCGGGTGGCACAAGCAGCCGCTTCCAGGCGGTGGCTCTGTCCCCCGGGCCAGGGGAAGGTGCCATCGCCCTTGCCTGGGCTGGAAGCGGTT